TATATATATATATATATATATATATATATATAGGCCCATTCAAGGGAGAACTGATTAGTTTGTGGTAACTGTGAGATCCAATCTCAACCACAAATCGATGGATAAATTAGGAAATTAATAATTATGATAGTTTGAGTTAAAATTATAATTAGAGAGCATATTAGGTATTTAAAAAAAACTCCTCTCTTCTCTCTCATCTCTCCGACCTCCAATCTCCAGTGAACATTAATCCGACAGGTACCAAGTAATCACAAAGATACACAATATGATACCCATTGTGATATACTATGATACCATTGTGATATACTATGATACCATTGTGATACCAACCATGATATCAACTCAAACCTAAAAAAGAAAGATACACAATGTGATACCCATTGTAATACACAATTTGATACCCATTTCACCGGAAGCCGGAGATTGGAGATCGGAGAGATGAGAGAGGAGAGAGAAGAGAGGAGTTTTTTAAAATATCTAATATGCCCTCTAATTATAATTTTAACTCAAACTATTATAATTATTAATTTCTTAATTTATTCGTTGATTTGTGGTTGAGATTGGATCTCACAGTTATCACAAACTAATCAGTTTTCATTTGACAAAAAAATTATAAATTATTCTTTATGCATAAAGTACTGTTTATTGATACCTATTACTTAAAATTCAATATTACAAATTGATTGTGCTTAAGTACAATTTATTAAAGCACTATGTTTGAATTCGTGTAACTAATTGCAGATAAATATAAGATAAACATATCATTTTAAATGAAAAAAAATCAAAATTATGATAAAGATAATCATTGAGTTTTAACAGAATAATTAATTATTATCTTCAAATATTATACGATTAAATCAAAAATAAATTACTTTGTTAATAAACTTAAATTAACATAAAGAAATTGAATTGAAGAAGTTACACAAAAAATGAGAACTTTTGAATAGTTAATTTGATAATAATATCGATATATTTTTTTCAAATTTTTATGATATATTTAAATTTATGTTTTATTCCAAAATGAAAACAATATTGTTTTCTCAAAAACACATAGAATCGTACTATAATATCGATAGAGACAAATAATAAAACAAAACATTAAAATCGAGATGTATCTCGCTACATTACTCGAATACCCTTCTAGTTATCTATACTATCTTATAAAGCATTTGGCTAAAATTCTTAAAAACTCTTAAAACTATTAAACCCTCATCCCTATCCGATTTCATCCCATAWCTGAATTCGTGTAACTAACTGCAGATAAACACAAT